AATCAAACAAAAAAGAGCACGCAAGTTGAAATTGCAAAAAATAAACGAAACGATTTCTACCTTAGAAACAGTACTCTCTAGGCGACAAAGGTCTAGAGGTCGGGAAAGCAGTCCAAGTAGAGACTAAGAGAGATCTAAATCTAGATACAAAGCTCTGTTAGCCGTAGAGGTCTTAGAGATCTGCAAATCTAGAAGTCGAGAGAACGATCTGCAAGTCTATAGAGACCGAAGGGATTGAGAGATCTAAGCCGAGTGCTTCGACGCAAGAGGTCTTAAAGTCTAGATCTAGGTCGCGAAGTCCAGAGGTCTAGCGATCTAGAGGTCTTGAGATCAAGAGATATCAGAAGTTCTCTGCTAAAGGACTAGAAGATCCTAGAAGCAACAATCATTATAGTCTCAAGGCTAGAGTTTGAGAGGTCTGGAAATCTAGAATAATCTAGAGGTCGAGGTCTAGAGAGCACGAGAGCACAATCAGCAGACACTCATCTGAGAGCACGTGTCAGGCGCCTGCACTTCGAGGTTCACAAAGTGCGGTGCCTGCCACGAAGTCTGCACTTCGAGGTTCACAATGTGCTGCGCCTGCCACAAAGTCTGCACTTCAAACTTCACATGGCGCAGTCCTGCCGAGGCACTTTGCTGCAAGAGCGCTTCCAAAGACAACATCAAGATTAAGATACCAAACCGCAGCTTTCGCACGAGACTTCAGTGACTTCCCCCAATTTCTGAAAACGAGCCACATGTCCAAAAGTCACGCTTCCTTGCACCTGTCAGGAAAACAAGCACGTCGAAGATTACCACCATGTCCAAGGTGCCGCGCTTGCCACGAAATCTACACACCGAAGTAAAACCACTCCGATCCCCTGCACCTGTCACGAAAAGTCGACCTTGGACCAACCAAACACAAGGTTTCCCTTGTGCCTACCACGAAAAGTGACCACCATGCCCGAAAATGCGCACGGCACCACAACGAGAGCGCAGTCGCGACAAACACCCGCCGCGCCCCACCAGATTTTGCGAGCCTGCGCAGTCAAAATGCACTTCGAGGACTTCGAGAGGGATGAATGTAGTGTAAGTAGCAACGAAATAGCCGGACGCCCCGATGAAGCACCTCGATTAAACACCGGCCCTTACACCTACCGTAAGAACCCTAGTGTGACCACACTGTTTGGGGGTAAAAATGAATTAAAATAGCATGAAACCTGCTTGCCCCGCTCCTCAGGTGCTGCATCCGGTGCAATGCGCTGGGCAGTGGCTTCCTGCGCTAAACCGTTGGGAGGCACATCGACCATGGCGCACCCCATTTTCTTGGTTCGGCACCGTCTTCCACTCGGACTTAGGAACCTCTTGCAACCCAATCAATCCGGAGATATGTCTATTGGCTTTACACGTTTCTTCTTTCGACCCAAGAATCATGGTCACCTCCTCGGGTGGAGCTTCTGCAGTCTCGAAATGGGGCGCCAACTCCTAGCCCGGCAAAGGGCAAAGCCACGGTGGTCCGGAAGTGAACTAGCAAAGACAGCAAAGAAGCGTTGGCAGTCACATCATTAGACCCTACATGTGCATAATTCGCAGACATCCTTCAATATGCAGAGCGTCGGAAATTCTATGAATATCAAGATTGCAACAACTCGTTCTCTTGCCAGCCGGAGCTCACTTGAATTTACAGTATAATATATATATATATACAGTTCAAACATGTTCAAACAACAAAGTCTCTGGTTAGTTGATGCAAATAGGACAAATGACAAAAAACATATTCAAAACTTGAAAATTGTTAAAACAAATGACAAAGACACCGCGAGTACCGCTCGAAACCGGGGATTCCCAGCGGCCCTCAAAGGAGGGGGGCCTCAGTGGGACTCTGCTCCAGCCGTTGGAAGAGCGTCCCTTCCTGGTTCCAAGGACGGCATGGGAAGGAAAGAAAAGGGAGTGAGTTGATCTTGTTTCATACGGCTGAACTGCTGTTTTGTGCCCCAGCGCACTTCCTTTCTGTTTGGAGGCTTCATGCATCATGTGCAGGATGATCTGCAGTTCTTGTGTAGGTTGCCATGTTAGTTCTTGGGACGGCAAATTGTAAATTCCAGTTGTGTGATGTTTTTCTGAGACCAATGCCTTTGAATAAACGCCTTACGCTGCAAAGTCCATGCTGGCGCCTCATCCTCCACGCGGAGAAAGTCCAAGCGCTGTCGATGCAAGACCCTGGGCGGGCGACGTCGGGCGGATCGTCGAGTTCGTGGTCACGAGGTGTATGGATCAAACATCAGTGAATAAAGTTTCTGAGAATGCTTGGCCACGCATTGTATGACATCTTAGAAAATGGAGACATATATGGAGCAAGTGGTTCTTGACATTCAAGTCACAAGAAGAGGGAGTCGCACCTCTACTACATTGAAACTACTACTGGCAACATTGCAGTCCCAAAAAAACAATTTCCGCCTGCCAATAGGACCTGTCCATGCCGGGATCTGCTTCCTGGCGCTGATCTGCTGTTGATGGAAGACATCTGGCACCACTGAAAATCACTTCAATCACATCACATTAGCTAAGTGTCCTTTAAACAATCTAGGAACCAAATGAAAGTGCGAGTGCTTCTTCAAGGAAGCTCCCTTGCCCTCAGCTTCCTTGAAGAAGCGTGAGCTATCCTGCGTCCTAGGTAGTAGCTTACACTTCAGCTACCTCTCCCTATAAGGCCTACCCCCCGGGCGAAAAACAACAAAGACCTTCAAATCCACCGCACGCATGGCCGCTGGCCCCACCTTCTTTGGACCAATGCGAAGAAACCCGCCACGAGGATCAGTAGCACCGAGAGGACCAGGATGGCTGATGCCAGGGGCGACGATCCCTGGCGCACCACGGAGTCACTGCAGCCGTCGCGTCGATCGCCGCAGTACGTCAGAAAGCATCTTCCTGTAGAAGTACCGTGGATACTGTAGGAGTATCTACATCTATCTATGTATATCTATCTATTTATATTATGTATGTATATATACATTTGGTATGTACGCAAAAAGATGTATGTGAAATGACCAAGGTTGAAAGGTGAGTCGATCCACAGGAGTTCGGAGCACCAAAAGAAGGCCCTCGGCCCGATGAAATCTCGTTGTGGTTGGACTAGTGACTAGTTGAAAGCCTTTTGGAACCTTTCCCGATTTGGCTTAAATAAACATTTTAAAGTGATAAAAAGGGCTGTACAAGATCGTTTCTTCTGATCCTCTGTTCCTAAGTTTGATGCTTCGTGCCCCTGTTTTACCCAGTGTTTCCACGAGCCAGCTTGACCGGTGGGGGGTCATCCTTTGCCTGAAGCGTTGCAATGATCCGAAGCACCTTGGTCCCCATGGAGTTGAGACATGTTGGTCTCTTGGTCGTTAGTTGCCTGTTCAATCCTCAATTTCAGTTTGAAGGAAGGCTTGAATGTTTATTGACATGAGGTGGGAAGCTGGCTTCAGCGAGGTTCCCACTTCTTGAAACCACAAAATGAGAGGCCTCTCTCACTTTGTTGTGCACTTCTGAGAACATCTGGGCGTCAAAGCATCTGGTCGTGGGATATGACCTCAAAGATCAACATTGAGCTGCACGGGGTGAAACATATAGACTGGTCCATTGCCAGGCCAACTCTTGCTTTTGATTGAGCGTGAAGCATGAAGAAACGTGTTTTTTGCAAACGGAATCTGCTCCAATGAACGAACGGAATAAAAGCTGCTGAAGGAAGCCAAAGGCAGAGGTGGGTTCTGGTGTCCCGTCAACAGTCTTCTAAACCAGCTAATTAGCATGTTCAATCGTTTATTGATTTTGTGAGTTGTCTTGGGACAAACGATTCCTTTGGTTTGCTCTTGCAAGACATGCGGATCTGAATCGCTCGTCCCCGGCACTTTGAGTTACAGCTGAGATGATTTCATCATGTTCCATGACTTTTACATGTACAATTCATTCTTCCTTCATCGCTGGGGCCGGTGAAGTCCAGCCTGACGGGCATCTATGTGAGATTGGGCCAGTGAATTCCAACGCCGCGAATCATCTGATTGGTGATCAAGCCCCTCAAAGACAATCAACATATGTTGTCCAACTTGGAGGTCCCAAGTCCGGTCGCAGATCTAAAAGTCACCCTACTCAACGCCATCTAATAGTCCCAGTGACCCAGTGTATCCATTAGCTCTCGTTTCCACCGTTTTCAACCCGGCGATAATGAGACGAAACCTCGTCACCGAGCGGCGGTTCTGCAAGCTGTTGGGCTCTTCAAAGGCAAAGCGGCCGTTACAGCGCTCCTGCAAACAGAACCGAAACCGACGTGACAAGGTCGGTCTGGGGGAAGTTCCACGCTGGTGGTGTCTGTCTTTTGGTTTAGGTCTTCTTGAGCTCTTCCAAACGGAAGCTGTCCAAATCAATAGAAACCTTTGAGTGCTGAGGGAATTCTGGAAGCAAATCCGAACCACTGAACCACTGTACTTGCGACGCTTTAGAACATCCAGGGTTTCTTTAGGGGTCTTCCAGTAGCAGTGAGACATGGTCCCATGACTTGCAGGAGGTCAACGGGGTAGGCAAGCCTTTGTGGTCTCATGCCCTCTGAAAAGTGGTTTCCACAAAATCCTATGACAAGAAAACCTACCGAAAATGGACGTGTCCTGTAGACTATTCTCCAAAGCAAGTCAAAGGAATTCGATTGAAGCAACATCAACCAACTGTAACTGTGAAGTGCTGAGCTGGCATCTCTCTTTGCCATGATTGAAAGAAAACGTGTAGAACATGGTAGAACAGCCACGGTCTTGTGCAGATCCTAATTGTGTTTTTTCAGTTTGCAGCAGGGTATCAAAAACCTTCTTCAGAAGGTTCGGCACAGAACCAGCTCTTACCTAACTGACTGGTTACTTTTCTATGGTAAAGTTAAATTTCTTCTCCAAAGAAAAGTGTATCCAGCAAAGGCTTCCAGGAAGCCGGCCAAATGCTCGAGCAATGCCCACGGATCCTTTTTGCACGCGGCAGTCTCTCTGCAGAGCACCTATCCATTATGCAACTGCAGGTGCAGGAACGAGCCTGTCACGCCTGCCATATAAAAAGGTCAGATTGATCCGCCGATTGCTGTAACCTAGATCCGCGGACAAGGCCATTTGGTTGATTCCATGCTGTGCATAGGTTTACGGCTTATTATGTAGATTCCCTACAAATATCCAGCAAGGGCAAGGGCATTGTTCCTATCAAAACGTGTTGGTGGACAACCAGCAGCAAGCGCGATTGAAACCTTTTCTAATTCAAGGTCCAAAATCTGACATGTGACCATCGACGGAGTTCATGTCATGCATATATATATATATATACCAATCGCTTGAGGGCAGTTGCTCAAAGCAGTGTCATTCTCCCTGTGACGAACCTGGATTTGCCCTGAATGAATGACCCACAATCCCACAAGCTCTCTTCCATGCTTCTGAGGAGCCTTCCCGGAAGGACATGTCGTCGGTCTTGTGGAAGTAGGTCGAATCAAACAAAATCTCAGTCAATCCCACACAGAGCCAGATCGAACGCGGTGCTCTATTCAGATCAGGAAAGCTAGCAGCTACCTTCAAATGTGTCTAAGAGCGGCTTCTCGTGACCCTCCACGTCCATGCCATGCTTTGAATCATCCTGTCTCGGACTACACAAGAGGCTTGGAGTTGTCTTCCGAACCGGTCGCACACACGTGTGACGCTCCGAATGGACAGGTCGTCCGAGTTGCTGCTCTGTTCTGGACATAAGGAACGGTGAGATTCCAATGGCCGGACTTCGCCAGGATCTCCTCGCGGGTGAGGGCCATAAATTGACGGTCTCCACACGTGGACTCTTTGACGGAAGTGTTGACGATGTTTGATGAAAAACCTTGCAGACTATATACATTGTATCACACACACGTATATATATATAATATATTGTAGATTATTGTAGCATAGAAACTGCGATTCTTCCTGAGTTCATCCCATTGGTCCCTGTTTCTTTCTCGAAAAGTCCAATGTCCTAACTTCAGCACAGAAGCATCAGCAATAAGGAACATGAATCTTCATATGACAAATCTTCACAAATCACCACCATCATGGGGTACATGGCCATTCCGTCCAACATCGACTTCGACATGGCCATGTCACCATGTCCTGTATTTCAGAGTTCTTGCTTTCGCTGTTGTACTTCTGAAAGCTCCACGAGGCCGGTGGCCCCACGCCATAGATCACCAGTCCACCCGAGGGATGTCGCGACTCATCGGAGGACCAAAGATTCGCCTTAGTGCTCCCAACGCAGCAAGACGCGGTGCTGTAAGTTCGGGCTGCCAGGTCCGTTTTGGCACCCCTCTCAAGTTGCTTGCAGGATGCTGCAGGCCTTTTTTTTGAAAAATTCCCCACTGGCTTACAATAGCAGTGCTGGTCTGCGGCTACAAAATGCCTCAGCCCCTCGAAACCCTAATTAGTCTGATATTAGTCTGTATGAATGACGCTACTAGGAGCAACGGCATCGCTACTAGGAGCAAGGACGCTACTAGGGGCTCCTGGCCTTACTACGACTACAACAAGAAGCTGCTAGTAACAAGAAGCTACTTGAGTAGAAGTCCCAGTATGAATGCTAGCAAAAGAAACAACAGCTGCGCTTCCTCTGGCCGATTCTCTCCGACCCCAGCGAGAAGAATCCCTTCGCACCTCCGAAGGCGTCAGGTAGATGTTGATCTGCAGCTGTGAGTCATCCGCGTGAGCTCCGATGCCAGGCAGTTTGCCATCATACATGTAAGCCCAAGCGTTCCTGGCAACAAGAGGAGTTCTCTCATGTTCTTTCAGACAAATTCTTGAAAGCATCCTTCCCATCCTCAAACAGAAGAAGTGCCTGATGCAAAGTGGCGGATCTGGATAATTTTCAAGAATCCTCTATAATATAATTAGTGGAGATATAATGAGATATAATAGCTTCCTTTTCTCTTTGTACCCCGCGCTATGAGTTGGTGAAACTAGACAAGACTTATGGCAGGCATTGAAGTCAAATCGGCGGTTCGGTTCACTTACCACCTACCCGGTGTTCACGGCGCTCGTTCGACCAGCGTTCGTCTTGACTCGCGCGTTCGTTCCGACCCGTTGCCGAGTGGCTGCAGGACTAAGCCATCCAGCACATCGGCGAAGCTCCGCCGGATCTCCTCGAAGCTCGGAACAGGGCCAATAGGGCCAGTTCCACGAAGCGTGGCAGTGGAAGAAACCGGGTGTTGAGAACAGGGCAGTGGATTGGTGCACTCCTCTTTGTTTCAAGTGGAAGAAACATGAGGAAAAATGAACGGGACTTGAAGTAGAGTCGTAGAGGAACTAGGAGGGAACATGATAACATGTCGTGTCATTTCGTTTGAAGCATGACATAACATGTGAAGTTGGCTTTAGAGCATACTTCCTTTGCTGTAGGTGTCCAACTCTTCGTCTTTTGCAGTCTTTGATCCACAGTGACAGAAGCAAGTTTTTTTGGTATTTTTGGGGCTTCTACCAACAGTGCATGTTACATGACCATAGAGATCCATGGAGTATGCATTTTGGACACGTTAGGTCCTGGATCTTCTTGTTTTGTTCTCGTTGTGCAGTCGTTTTCATCGTCGGGCAACGTGCCCTGTTTTGGACCTAGTTGAACACAGGTTCAACAGGCGAAGCACCTGGCATTTTGTCGGAACAATGCTGAACTTTCTCGCTGTCCAATACCTTCATCGTTTTACAGGGAACAAAGCATGACAAGAGTACCATGCGAAGACTACATTCCCGAGCCTGGGGGCTCTTTACTTTCCAGATCTTTCCAGTGTTCCACAAGCCATGCCATGGTCCTTCGATCATCTTCGATCCAGTTGGGATTCGGGTCGTCACGTCCCAACAACCCAAACAAACGCGCGACACCCCAACCCTTGGCCTGCTCTACCTGTGCCACCAAGCTGGAAGCAAAGCCAGTATGGAGATAGGTTCCCACATAGCCTGTGCTAGGTCGCATTCAGTGACTGGTGCCGGAAAAGGGGTGGATCCAATCAAGAAAGCTCCTTGACTGCAGAAAGTTCCGTGAGCATCCGTAAGCCAGGTGTGTATCATGGTGTATCTGAATGGGGGTGGAGAACAGCTCAGATTTGTGGTGAACAAATCCCCCGAGAAGAATTAATCCGGCCGACGTGGCCAAAATTGGGTGTTTCGGGTCTGATGCTTTCCAGTGTCTTCGGTTCTTATCACTAGGAATCCTCAACAGCATGCTCCATGCGGGTCAGCTTAGCGGGGTTCCCCCGCTAAGCTAGGTGGACGGCGTTTTTCGGGGTCTTTTTTCCATGGCACCTCGCTTCACGTCGCTCCAAATGGTGGACTCCAGGAGGAAGTCGCGAAGGTTCTGCAAAGCCTCTGGTGTGAAGAAGTCGTCGATCACCACCACCCGGTGCCTTGCACGGTGCCTCTCCCTTTGCATGTGCGCATGCCGGGGGTGTCTGATGGGGGTGAAGGAGAAAAGTCTGGCTGAGAATGATGGATGTCACATGGTGTCACTGACCACTTGGGGAAAATTGGCCTTGTCTGCGACACCAAGACGAACAGCTGCAAACACCGAAACAACCCAAAAGCTGCAAACAACCAAAAGTGTCGTGTCCGCACACAGCTGCGTAGCACCTCTTCGTTCTGAAGTCGGACTGCACCGCATCGAAGTTGATCTCTGGGTTGATGATGTCGGTTTTCACTGCTCCACCAGGGTGCAAGTGCAACAGCCTGCGAGTCAAGGAGTGCATTGCATTCATCGCTCAGATCCAACAACATACAACAACACCGACATCGGGCTTGGTGTTTAAGGAAATGTCATGATACTTCTCTATGTGGTGGTTTGCGGTCTTCTTCTGCAGAGTCATCTGAAGGCCTGTCCGATTCAGTGCCTTGTTTTTGCTTTCCTGTTTGTGAACCCAAGATAAGTTAAGTCTCATCAGCCGATCGAATCTCTCTGGGCAGTCTCCACAGCCTGCCATACAAACCGAAGAAGACCGCCAGGTGCTCGTTCGGCTCCATCATGGCGGAGTCATCTCCGGTTCCTTCCAGGGCCTGCCACGTCCACGTCCGCCGGAGTAGGGTGAGACCATGATTTGTTGCAGAATGACTCTGGTTGGACATGGTTGGACTCAACTTGAAGGGCTTCAGGCTTTAAGATCCGCCGCCAAATAACGGGGATTACTTAGGTGCCCCTTGTTGCCAATCATAAGAACCCTCCCCTGGTGCCGCATTCTGGGGTCTTCATCACCGATACAATGCTGGATCTTTGGCAAGTGCTTTATGATATCTCATGTCTCATGATCTTTCAAGTTTGATGTCGTTCTGCCTATGCCAGCCCTGTGCCCATTCGGTCAATGCGCCCTGCCGACTCGAGTGGCCATGGACCGAGCCAGAAAAAGAAAAAGTCGCCATGCATGGACCGTCACTCTCTCCCTGAAAGGCCTGGTTGACCACCTTTAAGGCCAAGTGGAACTCTGGGAGCGCAAACTCCTTCACGTAGTTCTCCAACTCTGAGTTCATCACCCCTGGCAGGGGGCGAGTGTTGGAGACAGAATGAAACTTAGTTGATCCATGTTGATCCCAATCTGTCGGTGAAACTGCAAACCCACCCGCGGCCCCATGCGGCTTCATGCGGTTAAAAGAGAACGCCCCATAAAACCCTGGAGTTCTTGCTCCAAGACTGCCACTATACCAAGCTGTCCAAAAAACTACGTTTAAAAAAATAAGAAAAGGTGATGACAATGTGAGCTCAGATGATTGACTTCCACTCAGGCCACAGGTTTTTTACACACATATACAAACTAAAGGCACCCACCTCGCCCTTCCCATCCTCTTCGATGCTCTTCTCGTTCCCACAGCCACCGCAGACAGTCTCCATCCCCACACCGCTCCGCTGGCCTCGGGCCACCAGGTACTCCAACTGTTCGATGTCGCGCTCCACCTGGTGCGGCACCACCTCAGCGCGCGGGCGACACCGGGCGCCTGGCCCAATGGACCGAGAAACCAGCCGAATCCATGGAAGGCGTCTTCGGGGTGTTTTGTTGGAGCCAGTTTAACGCAGGGACATTGGATGAAATGCGAGACCCAAGTGCGGCAACATTCGAACCCTCATGGCAACAGTTGGTAGAAGGATGCCGTCCAATGCACTCGTGGATCCTCATAGTATGGAATCCCATGGAATTTTGCACGGTCCCATGTGGTGAAAACAGAGCTCCATGCCCACCTTCAGACGCACCGACCGGAAACCGGGGGGGGGTCTCGACTGAACTTGGAACCAGGATAAAACCACCAACTGGGATACCCCCTAAAAAAAAGAACTGATGTCATCTGATGTCTTGATATGTCTTCTGCTTACGTCTGCACGCAGCTCTGATCACTTGCTCCCCGTCGACAAACCGGGCTTCACCACCCCAGCAGCTCCCATGGCATGAAGAATGCGAGTCCAAGGGACAAGCACAGGTGATGCCCAGCTTGGAAGGGCCCCGGGCTCTGGAAGATATGGCACACCTCGCCAGAGAGAGATAGATGGTCGGAGTCTGAAGTCGCGCAGGCAAAATCCACCGGATGGGGTTGTTTTCAAGGGGGCGTGGGCCTTCATATCCCACCCAAGAATCTTTGTGGGTCTTTGATAGCCAAGCTTTGGAACCCGAAAACTCCAACGTATGTTATACGTTATACGTGTATATATATATAATCTAGCAATATCTAGCGTTAATCTATAGTAGTGTCTCCAAAATGATTTCTTTCACATGCAGTCATTTGAAGATGAGCCCTAGAAACTGCTGCACTAAGGCCAAGACGGTGAAATGCCTTGAAGATCCAAATCGTTCTTTCCAAGATTCCAAGTCTCTCCAACTCGTCTTAGATTCCAGGTTTCTCACAGAATCTCAAGCCCGGTGGCCACCAGCTGTCTATGTGCCTTATGGATCGGGGACCTCAGCCGCAGCCCACCGGAAATGTCCCGTTCGCCTAGGCCTTGAGCCATTTCCTTGAACTTGGGCAACTTCTTGGCCCAGAAGACCTCGGCCTCCAAGGATGCAAATGATGATGTGCCAAGGTGTGAATGTGAGGGTTCCTTCTTTGCCCAAACATCCCTGAAAACACCTCTCACTGCAGGTCAAGCATGAGCTTGACTGCTTCACCCACGGTTTTGTGAGGTGTTTGGATTGTGACCTGACCCTTTCAACCTTTTGACCCCGAGATTCACAAGAAGCTGAAATCGAAAGAGGCATCTGCTGGTGAAGCCCCTGTCACTGAGTGACCTACTCAGCTTTGCTACCTTCACGTTTGCTCACCAGCAAAGACCTGGTGCTTTCAGTTCCTTCCCCACTCCCCTAAACTCAGAAAAACATCTTTCTTTCTGCCGCCAACTGCCCAATCCCGGCCTCGGAGGGTCGCCGCGCCCGCGCCATCACGGCACCGGCATCGCGGCATCCGGGTGAGGAGGGTCTGAGAAAGGCAATTGGATAGGCCACCTGGCGACACACCGAGACCGAGACTGAGTGACCCTGACTGAGTGACTCAGTGAAAACAGCTGAGTTCACGTGAAAACAGCGAGGCAAGGCGGGGCGCTGCTTTGGATGTTTCCCCGTGCAATCTTAATTAGCCTTCATTGAAGCCATATGTGTCTTTGGCTGCGAACCTATTTCTTGTATTAAGTCATGCAAACATGGACTACAACATTTGCCAAGAATGAATGACAAGTCCAGAATAGCTACTAGAAACAAGTGCATCGCTACTAGGAGCAAGGGCCTTACTAGTATTAACAAGAAGCTATTAGAAACTTACTAGTACCGCTGTTGGCATGTGTTTGACTGCACCGATTGGCAAAGCGACCCTGTACCACAGCACTGCTGAGGGACCCCTACCAGGAGGGGCACCAGACAGATCAAGCCGGGGCAGGTCCTGCATGCACTTCTGCGTACACCACGTCTGACGAAGAGGTTCAAAGATACCGAGCTGCGAAGTCAAGAGCCCAAGATATTTTCGGTTTTGCGACAAAAACTGACTTCTGTAAGGATGTGTAAGGCGTAGCATGGCGTAGTTTCGGTGCATCTGAGCTGGTGCCGGAGTTGATTCATCAATACCCGTCACACATAAATCGTCTAATAACTATTTTGGGCTCCATCACTCTGGACCTGGAAGCAACAAGCAAAATGGTCCTCCTCGCAGTCATCAACTTGCAAGCAAATTTCAGTGGCGCTGCACGCTGTTAGCTCATCAGCGACAACACAGAAAGCAAAGCAAACGGGATGTGCAAAGATTGCAATGGGGACCTTGTGCCAAAATGTCAATCTCAGGTGTTCAGCTTGTTGGAGGAAAAAACAATGACCAGCATCTGCTACTACTGGGGTAAATGGCTCAAGTCCAAATCATCAAGTTTTGCCTGGAATTTGAATTTGAGCTATGGCTCAAAAAGGTACTCTCCCAAGACCCCAAAGTGGAGTTCAGGGTGCAATGGAGTTTGGTGGACCCTTGCTTTTCGGAGATCACTTCATCTTGAATCTTGAGCATGTTTCAGCTCCATAGGCTTAGCGATCAGTTTTCAGATCGGAGAATATTGGTCTGTTTTCACATGCATTTGAGCCAAGGCAAATGCCATTCGAAGCATCCTCAAACGAAAATGACGCGTGCGTCTGCCATCCATCCACGTGGCTTGGCTTCAGTGATTCAATGTCCAAGTGCCAAATGAGCAGAACACAATGGTCAGCACAGGTTCTTCAATGACTCAACCAGCCCGGGTTCTTCAGAAACCGAAATCACCGGGCGCCCGGGTGGTTCATCGGACACCCGATGCACTCCATCCTCGCCGGCCTCGCCCTCAAAACCGCACAGAACACCCGCTCCAGACATGCCACACCATCATCACAGGTATAGTAGCCCAAAGCGGAGTCTGCGTAGCCGGTGGCGCCCCCTTGGTGGTTCAACAACTTCCGCCGGTTTACTTGCTGAGATTCTTGGAATTTGTGAAGGGTTGGGCCAATTGCACTGGACATGAAGGCAGTTCAAAACTACTGTACTCGAATCTGACCCCGACCCCTTGGCATTCAAAAAAACTGGCAGGCCATCCGTGTTTCTCGGTTTTCGAGAGTAAGTCAGAGAAGTCCGTCAAGTTAAAAGTCATTAAAAGTCAAAAGAGTTGTTTCATGCTGTTCAAAAATGGGCAGGCGTAGTTCAAAAATGTTCAAAAGGAGGAGAGACATGGAGAGACCGCCCAAAAAACAAGATTGAGCAAGAAGCTACTAGGTGGAGGCCATCGCTATTAGGTTGGAGGCCATTACTACTAGTAACAAGAAGCTCCTAGTAACAAAGGGCATCGCTACTTGGAGCAAGGACACTACTAGTAGCTCCTGGCATTGCTACTAGTAACAAGAAGTTACTAGGTGGAATCCCACACGAGACCTCCCCAGAAAATGGTTTCCTTTCACCTCCGGTGCTCGTCCCTCGCTGAGACACCCAGCGGTCGCCCTGGCGAAAGGCTGGGCAACAGCTGCTGTGAGATGAGCACAGCTTAGGAGCCAGGCCCATCTGGTGACACTCCTGACCGCCAAATCGAATCCTAAGACTCGTCGAAACAAACATAATAATGGTCTGCTTGAAGGTCAAAGGCCAATCTTCGTACTACTTTCGTGATGCAAGTACACCTCCAACTAGGAAACATCAAGGTTCCTACTTACGTAGAGAACTATAAAATCTTATTACTCCCGTTGGCCTTTGTAACAACCCCTGTGGCAGGTTGTAGCAAAACTACCTCCAACATCCACAAACTGTTGGAAGGCGTCGCTTGATTACGAACCGCCTTCCACACTTGTTGCCCCGCGGCTCCTGGTAGCACCCAGCCAACTGTGGGCAGTAGCTGCGGCCATCACAGTATCGGTAGGCATCATGTGCCTCGTTGCAACCTGAACCGGAACGAAACTCCGGTCGAATGCTCCATGACTGGGCGGACGATGATGCTACGAAGACAACCACCAGACTCGTTCGACTCGTTGTTGGGGCTTTCAGGTGGAGCGTTCTACGTCGATGTGAAAACGACTGGCCGTTCTACCATCGGTCTCCGGTGCGCTGCGTCTTTGTCTTCGTTGTCGGACTCGTCGCGAATGCTTCGGATGCTTCGATCTTTCGACGAAATGCTGAGGCGAGCACCTTTCAAGCAACTGTTGAGGGAATGCTCCTGCTTACAGCAGAATCTCAGAATACCAGTACTTACAGAAAAGACTTTGTGGATTCGTAGCCTTATTACAACTTATAGTCTTATAGTAATGCAGCCTTGGCCTCCAACTGTTGCTACAAACACGGTGAGGCGCTCTGCTGTTGCACCACACGGAACGACTTTCCTTTAGCATCAGGGCTGGACATAAAGCTTGTGAAGGACCAAGTGACCGGCCACGTATATCTTCACTGCAATCAAGTGGCGCAGCGGTAGAAGTCGTCCATCGACTGGTTGAAGGAGTCCACATCCCTGCAAAGTTCCCAACGGCCGGTGCTGGACGGACTCGCTGAAAACACCGTGTGTGGAGTCCTTCCAGAGCTCCTTCGTTTCCTTCCACCGTTGGAGCCATGGGATGGGGGGAAGACCAACGGATGTGTCAAAGTTTCGTCGCTGAAGTCATAGTTTTGGGAGGGATGGTCATCTTTCTCCAGCATGAAGGTTCGTAAGAGTGGCACACCATCATATATAGAGGGATTGTCAAATGAGTTAATCAATTGTACGCATCCCTCAAAGGATGAGGACCGTAAGCCAATGCAAGGGTCGAAGACTTGAGCGAAACGATCCATAGCACAGTAAGCCTGCGTGTCTTGCCCCTTCGCAGCGAGTATAGGCCCTGAAACTCTATATTTCCCTCTGGTCCAAAGTCGATGGAAATCATGAAATGCTACTTGAACTTGAAGCGAAGACATACATGATTGCGAGGTCACTTTGATCCTTCATGTGTGAAGTCACATGTCACATGCCAACCAATCTTCAAAGATTTCAAGCAGCCCCCGGTCTGCCTGTCCTTCAGAATGGAACTCCCCAGACGAGGGACCCGTCCCTGAGGTGCCGGACTTGGGACAACAAGGCAAGCTTCTGCATGCTGACACGTGCTTGTTGAGGCGGCACGCCTGGAGATGCCGTGGCTGTCACACTGCAAAGGATCCCCAATAAAATGGTTGAAGCATGCAAGAATTTGTAAGAAGTAGATAGAAGTAGGTTGTTGGGAGCCTGGTATGAATCCACTGATAGATCTGGTGTTTGACAGTTTTCCAAAAGGTTCCGTCCTGCCTCATAGCAGTTGGCCAATGGTGGACAATAGGTCTTGCCTGAGCGCCACAAGTCATCACTGGCTCCTGGATAGCACTGCCCCAGATTGTTCACTAGGATACAACTGCGGCAAGCAGACTCCAACAAAATCATACAAAATCTAACTCTGGAATGAGACAAGACTCCATATGGGAAGAAGGCGAGCCTAAGTCAGCCTGTCTTACGACAGACTGCGTATTTCCAAAAGTCAAAAAAAGCAAAAATTAGAGCCAAGCCCCTAGCAGCGTCTTTTTCCCCTCGGTCCCTGGCCATCGCCCCCACAGCGGCGAGATTGAAAGCGAGAGTTGCACCTGAGCGCTTCGCGAGTGCCAAGCCGAGGTTGGGAGCGCATGATTGAAGGCAGTGGCGTTTGGCGGCAGGCGTCCGTTGGGAGCGTCAAACAAGACTGAGGATGTGTCAGGGTAGAAGGGTAGAACCCCATGATGCCTTATGATGCCTATTCCATCCGGAAATTTCTCACTTGGATGATCTTGGATCTTGAAATTTCTCAAGCAACCATTAAGAACGATTCTGTGAAAGCAAATGTCAAGTCGAACTGACCAGTGTTGTTCCTTTCACCACCGACTGCACCCTACTTCACATGCAGTCTGAGCTGCACGCTTGTCCATGCATGCGTTCTGGGTGAAGCCGCAGACCTCAGGGCCAATGCGTTTGAACAAATACCATCGACCAGAAAAGGAGGCCTTGTTTGGGGTCGTTCATCGACACCATCACCAACGAAGATTGTTAAGACTTAAAAAGGTGCTGCCATCTCTCGTCAAGAATTCCCGAGAAGTCGCGAGCAAGGTGCTTGCCCGATGTCTCAATCTTCTTTGTGTATCACAACCTCAACCATCTACCCTTTGCATCGATTGCCTTCGCTCAAGTGCATTCATGAGAAATTACTGTAGAATACTGTAGACGGTGAAAGAGTCTAGAGTTCTGCACAAGGGACTCGGCATGCATCCACAGGGGTCATCGCAGTCCTGCCTACGCGGCTGAAGAGCCCCACCCCACGGCTCTACATCCTTGTTCTCGCCCTGTGGGAGTTTCGAGCCGTTCCGCCCTTCTGGGCGTCGTGACGTAGTAGTTGAAGGACGAATCATTGAAGTGTGGCTTCGAAGCACCTTGAGGGGACATGGTCTGAGCTGTCGAAAATGTGTGGAGTGCAGTGCAGAAAATGGAAACAGCATGCAAGATCGATAGAAACAACGCTTGCTCCAGTTCCAAGTCAATACAACTGTCTTTGCAAAGACCAGCCACCTAATGACCCTAAATGTTGCAAATCCAGGTCAGGATCCACAAATAGTCAGGATCCACAAATAGACTCTTATTTGGGATTGGGTGGCGTTCAAAACCATCCAAACACACGAGCGCCCCAAAGCTTGGCCTCAAAACGACAGCCCACTGGGCCACAGACTTGGACAGCAGGATGATTGCCAACAAGCCTCCGAATGGCGACACTGCTGGACTCTGGATTTGAGGCTTCAATGCGAGTGGCTTCAAAAATGTTCAAGAGAAAAGCTCAAAACACTGATATTGCATCTGAGATCTATGCAAGTATGTATGCAACATCATGCAAATCAAATTGTCAGATTGTCTGTCCGAAGCAAGTTGAGAGTTTGCATGATTGGTCCAGTTGAGGAGTTTCGAAGCGACAGGAGTGGAAACTCCTTCTGATCCAACATCTGACGGCGTGTCCATCTGCCCATCATTCAAGGCATCTGATCCAACTATAAACGTGCAATCCTGGTTGAACTCACCAGACAGGCGGCAGCTTTCATAGCAGTCGGCGAGCCTTAGAGTGGAAAAAATTGGCCGTGCTAGCAGCTCGACAAATGCATGGCTCATCTCAGCATCCAGGAAAATCCTGGAGGGTTTCACCAAAAAAC